AGGCTGTATATGTGATGTGAATGCAGCAGGTGGTCTTGCACGGAGCCTCAAGACACAGAAATTCTGCAATAGGGCATTACTTAAGAAGTGGTATCCTTCTCTGACTCTCACATGCCTAACGTCTACACTTGGGATAATGATATGCTCCCTTCACACAACTGTTTAGGAGAAAGCAATGAGATAAAGTTCAAAAAGTACTTAGTAAGTACTTTAGTTCCAGACATGCACTGTGTGCTCCCAACAAGGGAAGATGTTATCACCATGTTATAAACAGACATAATAATGGCCTTAGTTACTGAAAGTTGCTCAGTCGTGTCTAACTCTTTGCCACCCCATGGACTATCCAGGCCAGAATACTGGAGTGGGTAGCCTTTCCCTTCTCCAGGGGATCTTCCCAACTCAGGGATCGAACCCAGGTCTTCCGCATTGCAGGTGGATTCTTTCACCAGTTGAGCCACAAGGGAAGCCCAATATTGTCCTTAAATGAATAAATATAATGTTTGGTCATACTTTGAAGAAAAATCAAATACATGTATCTTTTATAAAGTTCTCAAGAAATAAAACCTTAAAGCGAAAGGATTTTTCTAAAAGCATATAAAACAGATTACAAAACATCTAAAAATGAAGACTGTGTAAAGAGGCTAAGCAGAAGAATAGGAGTCAAAGGGACTACAGGGTAGTCCAAAGATGAAGTCCAAAGATGAAGAATAAAGGAAGAGAAGCTAGGAGGTTGCCGATTGATTTGGCAGGAAGGGAAGATAGTTAACAAACACACAGTAGATATAAGAGTAGTTATAGTAAAATGAGAAGATAGAAAGTCTTGTCCAGATAAAATGTACTGGATTGGATTCTACTACTTTCGTAAAAGAAAAATTATAGGAAATCACAAAATCCTGGTTTTGGAAAGTAACTAAAATTTCATGAAGGCATGGGTCTCAAATTGTTAAGAAGGTCCAAAAAATGACAGGGAAGCCTGGCGTGCTGCAGTCCATGGGGTCGCAAAGAATCAGACATGACTGAGAGACTGAACAACAACAAAGCTGTTCAATGGGTGATCAACGTGGCCACTAACATCTTCTAGGAGTATCTTTGGAGTTGGAATAAAAAAGAGAATCTTCAAATAAGTTTGCAAAGAAAGGTGCAAGTGGCCACGGTGGAGAGTTCATCTACTGATCTTGTTTCACCCAGGAAACAAGAAATATTTTATTAAAAAAAAAAAAGAAGAAAAAACCAATACTTTAGCACATAATTATGGCTAAAATTTAAATGTCCAATTTGCTACCCACAAAGGCATGCTTTTGTTCAGTTACTATTCCAGTGAGAGCACTACCCCAGAACACTTCTAGGCACAGGACACAGTAGCAAACAAGACAGACAAGCTGCCTAAAAGGAGATTACATTCTATGGATAGAAGCAGATGATAAAAAGACAAAGACATAAATAGTATGTTAGGAGAAAAGTAAAGCAAGGGGAAAAGAGTTGCATTTTAAAGAAGACCAAACTGAAAAAGCGATACTTGAATAAAAGAAAAAACCATTCACTCTTCATTTTAAAATTATTCTGCTTCCTCGCAGTAGCACCCACAAATTTTTTTTTTAGTATCACATCAGAACTGCTCTAATTTTTCTAGAAATGCCTTTAAGAATTTCATTATAACCTGGAAATATAAAAAAGAACCTTAATACAAGCAACTTTAAGAATGTACCAGTTGAAAGACGACTTACTGCTGGAGGTGGGAGGGTCGCCAACACTCAAACACTAAAATTTTCTGTAGTTAAAGGCAGTTTTCAGAATGTTTCTGTCATTTAATATGGGTCTCACAACAAAAATGATCCTAAAGCAAAATATCTTTTATGATACATCCCAAAATATTTAGTCAGTATTCCAGTGTTTTAACATTAAATAAGCTGTTAACTTTTACTTTTGCTTATTCCAAAACTTTTAAAAGTCATAATGTAACAGTAATCTATTCATGACTCTGGAAATGAGATCCTTTGCTAATGATTCCAGCTTAACTTTGAAGCACAGCCCTTGGGTCCTGACTTTTTTGCCCTTTTATATATTTTACACTGTGGTTTCTATTGTAATTTACTTAGTTCATTGAGGAGGAAGATCAAAGTATCTGTAAACTTTGGTAGTAACCTACTTTCCTACCAATAAAATAGTTGTTTTTAAAAAGAACTTGAACAACTAAAAAACAGTTTTTTAGTTTTTTACGGTATCACAATAGCTCCAAAAAATTAAATACTGAAGTATAAAATCTAACACATATACAGGATCTCTAAGTTCAAAAATAACAAAATGCTGATAGAATAAATTAAAAAAGGCCTAAATAAATGGATTTGAGAATTAAAGGACTTAATAAAGATGTCAATTATTCAAAATGCTAATTCTCCCTAAATTGATCTACAGATTTAATGCAGTTCCAAGCAAAGTCACAGAGGTTTTCTGCATGTATAGACAAGCTGTTTCTAAACTGCATATGAAAAGGCAAAGATACATGAATTGCTAAAACATTAAAATGTTAACAATGATGCAGAGCATCTGAAACTCTCAGACAGCGCTGGTTCTGATAATGCAAAATGGTGTATCCATTCTGAAAAAGTCTGGCAGCACCTTACAAAGTTATACATACAGTTACAATCTACCCAACAGTCTCCCTCTTGAGAATTTATTCCAGAGACGTAAAAACAGGATCACACAAAAACCTATACCTAAATTTTCATCAAAATTTTATTTGGAATATCCCCAAACTGGAAACAATCCAAATGTCCTGCAACAGGTGAACAGATAAACAAAGCTGGTACAGTCACGTAATAAGAGTAGTACTCAGCCACAAACACGGAGTCAACTCTCAATATACTGCAAGGCTTGAATGAATCTCAAAGTCATTATGCTGAGTGAAGAAGCTAGTCTCAAACGGTTACGTACTGTAAGTTAACATCTATATGACCTTCTTAACAAGACAAAACTGTAGTGATAGAGAAAAGATCAGCAGTTGCTAAGGGTTAAGGGTTAGGGGGCGAGAATAGGGACAACACGTAAGATTTCTTTTTTTTTCCCTAAGTTATGGAACTGTTGTGTATCCTAATTGTAGTGATGAGTATACTAATCTACAGCAAGTTAAAATTCACAGGACTGAACACTAAAATCCACTCAACTGTACAAGATAGTTTAAAAATAAAATTTTTTAAAGACCTCAGTTAACATTACAGAAGAGCAGGAATTCAGCACAACAGTGTCACATTCATAAAGCTCTTTACTACCAGTTAATGAAGAAAGGAAGTTGATGGAATAAAGAGTGCCATTACCATACTTAAGTGATATTTTATGATAACTCTCAGGAACGTAAGAACATTTGAGACATTTACTTTCATCCTTATGATGTAAAGAATAAAGAGATTACTGAAGCAATGACAAAAATCATGCCAGTACAATAATCATTTCTATGGCTATCATGGTTCTATGAAACCAGACAACTTTAAATACATATGACAACATAAGACTAAAACTTACATAGGATTAACTGAGGCATGGGATTCCCACTGATTACTACTTGGGTAGGTATAAACACCCTTTTAATAATAGCTTTATTGAGGTGTAAGTCATGTACACTAAGCCACGTGCATTTAAAGTATCTATGATATATACTCCTACAAATTCATCATCACTATTGATGAACATGGTGATCACACCAAAAACATTTCCTTGTGCCCTTCTGTAATCTATCCCTCCCTGCCCCTCTATCCTCAAACCCCAGACCACTGCAAATCTCCTATCACCGTTGGTTAAGTCTGCACTTTTTAGAATTCTATATAAAGAGAACCATAAGTATGCATTCTTTCTTTCCTTCGGCTTTTTTAACTTCAAAGAATTATTTTGAGATTCCTCCATGTTACTGGGTATAAAGGCATACTTTGGAGACAGTGAGAATTCAGTTCTAGACCACTGCAATGAAGTGAAAACTGCAATAAAAGAGTGAGACAATTTTTTTGGTTTCCCATAGCATATTAAATATGCAATAGCATTATGTCTAAAAAACAATGTACACACTTTAAGAATACTTAATTGCTAAAAAATGCCAACCATAATCTGACAATGCAGAGTTGCCACAAATCTTCAGCATATAAAAAACACAGTATCTGCAAAGTGCAATAAAGTGAAGAGCAATAGTACAAGGCATGCTTGTATTAATACTTCATCCCTTTTTATTACTTAGTAGTATTCCAATGGGGCTTCCCTGGTGGCTCAGGGGTAAACAATGTGCTTGCCAATGCAGGAGACGCAGGTTCAATCCCTGGGTCAGGAAGATCTCCTGGAGAAGGAAATGGAAACCCACTCCAGTATTCTTGCCTAGGAAATCCCATGGACAGAGGAGCCTGGCAGGCTACAGTCCATGGGGTCGCAAAGAGTCGGACACAACTTAGCAACTAAATAAAAACGATAACAAGTATTCAAATGGATATGCGGTAGACTATTTATCCATTTACCTGTTTAATGGAGATCTGGGTTTTCCCACTTCTGGTTATTACAAATGTCTCTACATGTTCAGAGACATTTTAATATATTGAAGAAAATGACTTCAGATCATCATCACTTTCTTACACTGAAATATAACACATCTGTATGTGTATATCTACACACACTGTATATCCCTGTATAATGCATTATTATAAAGGCAAAAATGATCTTTTCTCCTCATTGTTTTCCTTTGAAAAGTGAAAGTGTTAGCTGCTCAGTGGTGGCAATCTTGAGCTTCCCCCATGGATCACAGTAAAAAATCTGCCTGCCATGCAGGAGACCTGGGTTCTATCCCTGGGCTGGGAAGATCCCTTGGAGAAGGTAATGGCAATCCATTCCAGTATTCTGGAGAATCCCCATGGACAAAAGAGTCTGGCGGGATACAGTCCATGGGATGGCAAAGAGTTGGACATGAGTGAGCAACTAAGCACTTAACAACAACAAAATGACTGATTTGTTTCAATAAAAACATAACATACCCACAATAAAAGGCAGCCATAAGCATATAAGTCAGAACTCGGAGAAGCAGGTTTTCCCATTTTCAGTTCAGGTGATAGCAAACTTAAGTCACCAACCATCATGTTCACTGAGGCTCGCTGACTCTACAAAAACAGTAGGTCAAATATTTTAGAGGCAACACAGTTGAGGCAGCTTTCTGTGAAGCGATTTGCATTTAATCAACACAAAAAATATTCATTTGAAATATTTTATTCTCTCTCCGCTTTGAAATATTTTAACCTAATTTCCACTATTATAAACAGCTCTTAAAATCAGTCTCATGAAAATTTAACAGTGAGACTATGGTTACACTGCACATTGTAGACTCCAGATTAAATATTAAGAATCACTGAATCAATAAAATTTAGTACTTTCTTTAAAAATACACTTCACAAGGGCAAGAGGTAGTGCTATTTTCTAACTCTGAAAATTATAAGTAATTTTTAAAAACACACTTTCCTTCCCTACTGACCATTTTCTAAGTATACAATTTCTAATGTGTCAAAAGGATGATCAATGACAAGAACATGAACCCTGGATTCAGATAAACTCGACTGCAATACTCACTTCGTCATTTACTTGCTATATGACCTTTGGCTTTAATCTCTTTGAGCCTAAATTAATTTGTCCAAAGGAAATTAACTTGTAACTACCTTAGAGTTATTGTAAAGGTAAAGTTAATCACCACACTAATTACTAAGTGTTAATTATCTTCTCCTACCATCCTTATCCTTGTTTCTCAGAGTAGGATAGTTTGGGAGTAATACTTCCAAAGACCAGTAGCTATACTAACACCTGGGAACTTCTTAGAAACACAAAATTTCCACTGCAGAAATGCTGAATAAAAACCTGAATTTTATGCAAACTTGAAACATATAATGTCATATACTAATTTCACCTCAATTTCTAAAAACTGCATTTTAACAAGATTCCGAGGAGAATCACATGCAGTGTAAAGTCTGAAAAGCAATGTTTTTGACTATGGACTACTCTTCAAATTACTCTTCTTTGAGTTAGTACCTCAACCGAAATTAGGGTGAAAAAATGAAGCAAGAGGTGAGTTCAATCCATATTTCAGAATAAATCATTTTAAGGGTTTCCCCAGTGGCTCAGATTCTTTACCACTGTGGTGGTAAAGAATCCACCACAGTGCAGGAGACACACAAGACATGGGCTCGATCCCTGGATCGAGATCTCCTGGAGGAGGAAATGGCAACCCACCCCAGTATTCTTGCTAGGAAAGTCTCATGGACAGAGGAGCCTGGCTGGGGGGGCGTCACAAAGAGTCGGACACGACTGAAGCAACTGAGCACGCACGTAACAGCTGACAAATCAGTATAAAACAGGAAGAATACCTTGGACTCGTATTTATAGCTGGGAGAATGGCATGCCTTGGTAAACTAATCAGGATTCCTAAGAATAGAGAACTTCTAAAAACACACAGTTCAGTTATTTTTAAGATGTTATCCTAATCTTCAAATAAATATAAACCTTTCAGCAAATTTTACTTGTATAAATTCTCTATAATCAAGCATTTCATTACAGTTTTACATTTTTATTTTCTCATCTTTTTGAGGTACCACATGAAAACCACTGAAACTGTACATAAACAGGTGGCATTATTCTATGACCTGCAGATGACCAATATATAAAGCATTCTGACTTTTACTAGTCAAAGGGGAACTCCACACACAATAAATATTGTCAAGGATTTTGAGAAACTGGAATCCTCATATTATCACTGATGAGTATGTAAAACAGTACAGACACTTTGGAAAACAGCTTTGTTTCTTAGAAAGTGAAACACAGACATCCACCATAAAACCCACTAATTCCTTCCCTAGGAAAACATATCTCCACACAAAAACTTGGATACTGATGTTCACAGAAGCATTATTCATAATAATCAAAAAGTAGAAACCCAAGTACCCACAAACTGATGAATGTAAATACAAAGTACAGTACATCCATACAATGAAATACTATTTGGGCATTTTAAAACCATAATCAAAAAAGACACATGTACCTTAATGTTCACTGCAGCACTATTTACAATAGCTAGGCCATGGAAGCAACCTAGATGTTCATCAACAGATCAATGGATAAAGAAGTTGTGGTGTATATACCCACTGGAATATTATTCAGCCATATAAAGGAATGCATTTCAGTCAGTCCTAATGAGGTGGATGAACCTACAGCCTATTATACAAAGCGAAGTAAGTCAGAAAGAGAATGATAAATATCATATATTAATTATATATATGGAATCTAGAAAGATGGTACTGATGAACCTATCTGCAAGGCAGCAGTAGAGACAGACATAAAGAATGGACTCAGGGACACAGCTGGGGAAGGAGAGGGGTAGGAAGAATTGAGAAAGTAGCAATGAAACATATGGATTATCATGTGTAAAATTATTAAATTGGTGCAAAAACAGTTTCAGTTTTGCATTGTTGAACTTTACTATTTGATACTGGAATACATTCTGAAATAAATGTGGTTAGGTTATAAAAAATTTTTTTAGAAAAGGAATGAATTTCAGGCACATGCTACAAGATGGACAAATCTTGAAAACATTATGCAGACTGAAATATGCTAATCACAAAAAGCCACATATTATATGATTCCATACACAGAAAATGTCCACAATAAGTTCATAGGGACAGAAAGTGGATCAGTGGTTTCCAAGAGACTTAACAGAGGAAGAAAGGAGGAGTGACTGCAAAGAGGTATGGGGTTTCTTTCAGAGGGTGATAAAAATGTTTCAGAATTAGACAGTGGTGACTGATGCAGAATATTGTGACTATATTAAAATTAGTACTGAAATGTACACATTATATGTGAATTATATTTTAATAAAGAGAAATGCTCCCTTGTGATTATATTTTGAAATTACTTACTCTACCAGAAAGAAAAAAATATCACAATATTCTCCCTATTTGATATATGTTATTCCTACAAACTGCCTCTTCTAAGGTAACATGACACCAAATTAATAGCCAATGTCATCAAACTAGAACTTAAACTAAATGGAAAAGATTTAGTTTTTGGGAATCTAAGATTCCCAAGTTTCTAAAAATGCCCACTAATCAAAAAATAGCAAAGCATGTATATCTAAATCTAATCCTTTGACTGGGAGAGCACCAGCAGATAGGGAGACAGGAGATGGCCATCTACTTTTCCTTGTGTATTCCAGCAATTAAATATTTCTTGATGATCATAATTGTTGTTTGCTGTTATTTGGTCTCTAAGTTATGCCCCACTCTTTTGTGACTCCATGGACTGTAGCCCATCGGGCTCCTCTACCCATGGGATTTCCAAGACAAGAATACAGGCATGGGTTGCCATGTCCTTCTCCCAAGGATTGAACCCACGTCTCCTGCACTGACAGATTCTTTACCACTGAGCCACCAGGGAAGCTCCAACTGATAAAATAATTAATGCTAATATTGTCAATGCCATCGACTATAATTTCAGGTTGCTCCTAAAACTTATGGTTAAAAAAATTTAATGCACAACTTTAGAAACTCTTGCTCTAGCATCTAGCTGATAACAGAGTAATAGCTTACACTACATGACATACCTTAACCGAAGGCAAAGATCTTATAATAAATTCCCATATGATGCAAAAGTGCCTAATAATATTAAATGAAGTCTAGAACTTATTTATAAAACCACTATATTTTTACCACAGATTTGGTGAAGTCAAAATCTCCAACAATTCCATGTTGACGGTTTAAAGCAAAAACATTGTTCTGATGAAGTGATCCATGAATTATATCAGCCTTGTGCAATGTATGAAGACCCTGGGCTACACCTTTCATGACCTTTAAAGCTTCCTATAGATAACACAAAAAGAAGTCAGGAAGTAGACAAATCATTTTAATAAATGAACCTTTTCTCTACTTAAAAGACTTTTTCAGAAGTGGCTAAGCTTCCTCAAAATGAACCTTTAAAAACAATACAGCACAGAGAAAGAATTAAAGGCCAGAAGTCCTGATTATGTAACTGGTAATATCATGTAAACATATATATCACATATGTGTGTGTATATATATGTTTAATATGACTTAGACTATAGTCTCTAAGAAGACTTGAATTACAAACATTGACCATAGACCATCTAGAAAAGAAAAGAGGCTGAAAGAGTGTTACTGGGCAGAAAGAATCAGGTCATTGTTTACTGTTATTACCAATTCAAATTTACAACAGAAATGAAAGCTACTGCTTAAGACCAAGAGCTATACTATACAATTTACATACAACGCAGCCTAATAGTTATAAGGATTATGCTTTGGTGCCAAAAAGTTCCAACCCCAAGTCCTAGCTCAGCCTCTGGATGAGAAACCCTGTACCAGTCACTTTAATCTCTGTAAGCCTCACTTTTCTAATCTGTATATAATGGGATAACTCATATCCCAGGGGTGATGTGACAATTAAATAATCAAAACTGTACATTGAAAGTGCGCAGTGTATCCTCAACAAACTTTAGGTGATACTTTCTCACTAGACACATCTATGGAAATAATGTGGTTTTTTTTTTTACTTACTTCTGAAGTTAAAGGCATGCTGGACTGAACAGCATTCAGACTTGCCCTAGGATAATATGGGACCATCAGATAAGCCATAGGATCAGACTAAGAAGCAAAACAGGAAATGAGAATCTAAGTGAAAAATTCTTCAATACATCTTCAGTATACAATGATTGTACAAAGTAATTTTTCCACAAAGAATTACTACTCTGCTGTGCAAAATCTTTTAAATTTAATTAGGCCTCAATTGTTCACTTTTGCTTTTTTCTTTTGCTTGGGAGACTGATACAAGAAAACACTGCTAACAATTTATGTCAAAGAGTGTTTCATATATGTTCTTTTCTAGGAGCTCTATGGTTTCGTGTCTTACATTTAGGTATTAAACTATTTTGAGTTTATTTTTGTATATGGTGTGAAAGAATGCTATAATTTCATTGTTTCATATGTCACTATCCAGCTTTCCCAGCACCACTTGTTGAAAAGACTATCTAAATAAACTTAAAAGCTTTGCACAGCAAAGAATCCATCAACAAAATGAAGAAAACCTATGGAATGGGAGAAAATATTAAAAAAATGATGTGACTAACAAGTAGTTCACATC